TTGGTGGAGCGGGTGACAGGAGAGAGATCTGTGTTTGAAAACAACACAGATCTCTCTACTGACAACGGGGATACAAAGCAGGGAATAAAAACCAGCACATCCCCTAGTAAAAACAGCACACAATTAACACAATAACACTTGCTAGGCACACAGTTAACCCTTTGATTCTCCCAGATGTTAACCCCTTCCTACCTAGTGTCATTGGGTATATGTAAAGTATGTAGACGCTATAACATTCACAGAAACAAATCAACATACACTTATTGGTATTATTTTTACCAATGTAGCAGAATACGATTTTGCCTAAATTCATGAAGACATTTTATTTTTAAAAAGTTTTTATTGGATACGTTTTATAGCAAGAAGTAAAATATTTATTTACGAATATTTTTTTTCTTTTTTTCAAAGATTTCATTGCTTTTTTTTCGTTTATAGTTCAAAAAATAAACAACCATGTGGTAATCAAATACCACCAAAAGAAAGTTATATTTCTGTGAAAAAAAAATTATATAAATCTAATTTGGGAACAGTGTTGTAAGACCGTGCAAGTGTCAGTTAACGTAACGCACTGCCGTATAGCAAAAAATGCCCTGTTCATGAAGGGGGTAAAATCTTCCGGAGGTCAATTGGTTAAAATGTACTTGTTTATTGTAAAACGTGTGCTTGTTTTTTTCTGCATGGGTGCTCAATTCTAGGTCAAACTTGAGAGGAGTTGTGTACAGGGGGGCAGCAAGGCAAAACACATGGGGTCAGAAAGGCAAACTACTGTACATAGGGGGCAGCAGAGCACATTACATGGAGACAGGGCACATTACATGGAAGCAGGGCATATTATGGGACACACAGCAGGGCACATTGCTTAGGATTAGGGCACCTGGGATCAGAGCAACTGACATGGGATCATGGCACATGGATCACAGCACCTTACATGGGATCACGGCACATGGGGTCAGAACACCTTACATGGGATCAGAGCACCTTACATGGGATCAGGACACATGGGACCAGAATACCTTATATCGGACCATGGCACATGGGATCAGATCACTTTACATAGGATCAAAGTACATGGGATCAGAGCACCGTACATGAGATCATGGCACATGGGATCAGAGCACCTTACATAGGATCAGGACACAAAGGATAAGAGCACTTTACATAGGACCAGGGCACATGGGATCAGAGCACCTTACATGAGATCAAGACACATGGGACAAGAGCACCTTATGTGGGATCAGGACACATGGAATCAGAACACCTTACATGGGATCATGGCACATGGAATCAGAGCACCTTACATGGGATCAGAGCACCTTACATGGGATCATGTCACATGGAATCTGAGCACCTTACATGGAATTAGGGCACATGGGATCACAGCACCTTACATGGAAACAGAGCACCTTACATGGAAACAGAGCACATGGAATCAGAGCACCTTACATTGAATCAGGGCACATGGGATCACAGCACCTTACATGGGATCAGTGCACATGGGATCAGAGCACCTTACATGGAATCAGAGCATCTGACATGGGATCATGGCACATGGAATCAGAGCACCTTAATCAATCTCTTCTAACAGGAGAAGTTCCCCATGACTGGTGGACAGGTAATATTGTACCTATCCACAAGAAGGGCAGCAAGGTAGAAGCTGGAAATGACAGGCCAGCGAGTTTAACATCTGTTGGAGTCAAGTTAATGGAATCACTCCTGAAAAGAAGGATCGTTGATCACTTAAAAACACACAACTTGCTGGATCCAAAGCAGCATGGCTTTATTGAGAGCAGATCATGTCAGACTAACATTACCAATGTTTTGGACCTGGGTGGTGCTGTGGACATAGCATATCTTGATTTCGACAAGGCATTTGATACAGTTCCACATAATGACCTAATACAAAAGTTGTACAAGCTAGGACTTAGCCCTTGGGTGGTTCCGTGGATATGCAACTAGCTAAAGGATAGATACCAGAGTGTGGTTGTAAATGGGGTTCACTCGGAAAAGAGACCAGTATCTAGTGGTGTACCACATGGCTCTGTACTAGGTCCGGTTCTATTTAATCTATATGTAAGTGATATAACTAAAAGGTTTGTTGGGTAAGGTATGTTTTTTTGCTGATGACTCAAAGGTGCACAATGAGGTTGATATCCCTGGAGGTGTTTGTAACATGGAACATGATTTGGAATTGCTGGAAGATTGGTCAAAAAAGTGGAAATTGCAATTCAATGTTTCTAAATGTAAAATAAGGCACCTAGGGAAAAAGAATCCTTTGAGAGATTACAACATTGGGGGTATATTGTTGGCCAGCACTTCAGAGGAAAAGGACTTGGCGGTACTTATCTCAGATGATTACAAAATGAGCAAACAGTGTGGTCAGGCAGTGGGGAAAGCAAACAGAATTCTAGGATGCATCACTTGAGGGATCACAGGAGGAAGGAGGTCCTGGTTCCCCTATATAGATCTTTAGTTAGACTTCATTAGAATACTGTGTCCAGTTCTGGAGACCTCACTTGCAAAAAGATATTGATAAGACAGAAGAACGAGTCCAGAGACGGGTAACAAAAATGGTGAAAGGTCTGGGGGGATAAAACATATCAAGAGCAACTTCAGGAACTTAACATGTACAGTCTGGAGGAAAGAAGGGAAAGGGGAGATATGACTGAAACCTTGAAATACATCAAGGGGGTGAATAAGGTTCAGGAGGGCAGTATTTTCAATATGAAACCAAAACCAAAAACAAGGGGACATGACCTTAAACTAGATGGAGGAAAGTTCAAAACTAAACCCAGAAAGCACTATTTTACTGAAAGAGTAGTTGATGCTTGGAATAAACTTCCAGCAGAGGTAGTGAGCTGGTCAACAGTAAATAGCTTCAAACATGCTTAGGACAAGCATAGATCTATAGTCAGACAAAAAAGTAAAAAAAAAAAAAAAAAAAGAACCCCCCCCCCCCCCCCCAAAAAAAAGGGCAGGCTCGAAACACTCTCTCTTCCGTCACCTATGTTTCACTTTACTTTACATGGGTTCAAGGCACATGGAATCAGAGCACATTACATGGGATCAGGGCACATGGGATCAAAGCACCTTGCATGGGATCAGGGCACATGGGATCAGAGCACCTTATGATGCCCTCCCAGGACTGGACAACCGCGCTGTAGCCGTCATTCGGCTATAGCACGGTTGGCAAGTGGTTAAACTCTCCGTTCACCTGACTACTCTGACCTCGGCCTGTTTACTAGACTTGCCTTTGCCTACTGTTTCCGTACCGCTTTGCCCAGCTATTACTGACTTTGGACTGCCTCCAGGACCTGCTCTGCCTGGTCGCTGCTGACTGCTGTATGCTGCCTGTCTCCTGGTCCTGCTTCATCTTCTGTTCTGGTGCAAAGCCTACCAGCTCTACCCACCTACAGAGTGGACACCACCAGCCAGCTACTCCAGCACTGGTGCCACTCTTTGCCCTCACATTCTCTGTCTCCACCTTCAGGAGTGTTGGGCAGGAGGTGCAAGAGAGGCCTCCATAACATTCCAGTCTTCACCAGGTACGTGATAAAAGGTAGGGGTCCCAACACTTAACCTTGGGGTACACCACTAATAACCTTAGACCATTCAGAGTATGAATCATTAACCACTACAGTACTCTGAATACAAACTTTCAGCCAGTTTTCTATTCATTTACAAACTTAATTTTCCAAGCCTGCAAACGTTTACTAACTCATTAGCCGTGTGGGAAACTGTGTCAAACACTTTTGCAGAAATCCAAGTATTCTATATCCACTGGCACTCCTTTTGGCTAAGGTTTTGCTTACTTCCTCATATAAAGAAAGATTTGTTTGACAACTTCTGTCTTTCATGAATTCATGCTGACTATTGTTTAAATATTGCTTTCTAGAACAAATTCTTCTATGTGTTCTTTTAATAAATTCTTCAGTATCTTCCCAACTAAAGAATTTAAACTAACCAGCCTGTAGTTACTTGGTAAAGATTTGGATCACTTTTAAAATATAGGCACCACATCAGCCTTGCACTAATCTTGTGGCACTGAGCCAGTCATTAGAAACAATGGCTTATATACAACAGAGCTCAACACTTTGAGAACAGGTGGGTGTAAGCCATCTGGTCCATGTGCTTTATTCACCTTTATTTTGTCTAAATGTTTCTGGACCATACAATATTTAAGCCATTGGGATTCTTTTGGGGTTAGGTCAGAACTATCCCTATTATGTACTTGTACCCCTTTTCCTTTGTATACAGAGAGCTGAAGGTAATTAATACATTTGCATTCTCTTTGTCCCCAGGCACCAACTGCAAACTATCTTGTAAAGAACCTACATGGTCAGACCTTACCCTTTAAGGCTCCATGCACACGGGGCGTTTTAATAACGCAGGTAACGGTAGCTATGTAAAAGTTACGTTAAAAACTTCGCCCCCCTCTCTCCTCCCCTCTTGCTCTCCCTCCTTCTCTCCCTACTTCCCCCACTCTCTCCCGAGCAGTCCCATTATTCTCTACAAGGGTTTCTCATTTAGACGTTAAGGAATTATTGTACCACCTTTGAATATCGCCTGATTGGGGATGCCTCCTTTATAACTACGGGGGGATCCATATCTCTCGAATCCACAGACTACGCCAATTCCATTAATATTGTTCTTCCCCACCCTTGTCACTCTTGATGTTCTCATAATTCTTTCTTTTGTGCTGTGCTTTGTTTAATTTACTGCAAAACCAAATAAAAACAAATTTGCCATTAAAAACGTGAGTTTCTCAGCGTTTGTTACCATTTTGCGTTTCTCGTTTGCGGATTTTAGTTTTTTTTGACCAAAAATAAAATTTGGTTGATTCAAAAGAAAAACGATGGCATCCTAGATGTGGGCCTCAAAATATTCTCATGTTATATAAAAGTTCAGTTGTTGTACTGAGATGTCTAATTATGTTCTTGTCTTTCTACAGCAACATCATAATGGTGTTACCAATGTCCAGAAAGCACAGGCTACGAAATTGGATGGCTCTAGGAACTATCTTTGTGCTGTTAAGTCTAGGATGGAATATACAATCTGTACTTTTTACTTTTGGTTCTGAACAAGCTTTGATTACCTCACATGATATTACCACCACGGTACTGATTTGGCACTGGCCTTTCCATTATCCACTGAATATCTCAGGAGATGTTTGCCTTGACCTCTATAATATCAAGAACTGTAGACTGACAGATAATAGAGACATGCTGAATTTTAGTGATGTGGTGGTCTTTCACCACAGAGAATTAAATAAGAAGGGCCAGTCTATGCCCACTGACTCTAGGAACCCTGAACAAGTGTGGGTTTGGGCAACTCTAGAGTCTCCATCCAACACCAAGAACCTTGGCAAATGGAACAATACATTCAACTGGACATTGACTTACCGAGAAGATTCAGACATCTTTGTGCCTTATGGGCAGTTGGTTCCCAAATTACACATGCAATTTAATACCTCTGCTAAAACGGGCCTTCTGACCTGGGCTGTTAGTAATTATCACCGGACTCAAGAACGGGTTAAATTCTTCAAGGACTTTTCAAACTACCTCAATGTGGATGTGTACGGAAAAGCCAGAAATAAGCCTCTTTGTTCATCATGCCTTCTTCCCACCATATCCCATTACTACTTTTACCTCGCCTTGGAGAATTCAGTCCATAAAGACTACATTACAGAGAAACTTTGGAAAAATTCCTTCCTAGCTGGGGCAGTCCCTGTAGTGCTTGGCCCACCACGAGAAAACTATGAGAAATTTATACCAGCAGACTCTTTTATTCATGTCTCTGACTTTGCATCAGCCAAGGATCTAGCTGCATTTTTAAAGTCAATGACCATAGAGCGTTATGAACAATACTTCCACTGGCGGCAGGAGTACGGTATAAAGATATACAATGATTGGAGGGAGAGATTTTGTATGATCTGTACCAGATACCCCCATTTGCCCAAGGACCAAGTCTATTCTAATTTGGAAGGCTGGTTTACGGGCAACAGTTAAGGGAGGATGGTTCTCTTTACAGTCTGCCCAGCTCACCAACAGAAAAGCACATGAGTTATGAAAAAAAAAAAAAAAAAAAAAGTACTGTTCGTAGCAACCCACCACTTTTAGGTAATAAAAACCATCATCTGACTGGTTGCTACAATCAGAGTGGTACTAAAGCCTAAATGTTTTTTACCCTAATGCATTCTCTGCATTAAGGTAAAAAATACCCCACTACCAGTCCTACCCCCTCCTGTCCTAAACACTTACTTGGCTCTATATCACCGTGTTAGTGGCTCCAGCACTGCTCCACTTCCAGCTTTCACTGGAGAAACTGAAGGCAGTAGTAGTTTTAGATAGTGTAGGTAAGTGCAGGGGCGGACTGACCATTTGGAAACTTGGGCACTGCCCGAGGGCCCAGGGTCGGTAGGGGGCCCCATGAGATGCCCCTGGTACCTTTTCCATAGGCTTTTTTGAGTTTGGGCAAGGACACAGGGGTTTCATGATCCCCTATTGCCCGGGGGCCCATGAGTTGTCAGTCCGCTCCTGGGTAAGTGTTAGAACTTCTGTCAGGTTTTGACTGTTTAAGACTCCATCCACAGGAAAGAAGAATGAAGCACCAAACCAACTGTTGACAGTCCAAACAAAATGTTTTAAATCTTCATATGGTACAAGCTAACACATATTGGGGGTCTTACAAACCCCCCTTTGTTGGAGCTAGGGGAGTATTGCAGAGTTTAAAATAAAAGTATGAGTGTGCATCAAAATCACAAATTCAAATAAAAATATTTGTTTATAGTTTTTTTTTTCTATTTTGATGAACAGATTTGCAATTTTGAAATAATTAAATTGCTGTTGGGGCCTCCCCCCCCCCTTTTTATGGTTTTTAATATTCTCACCTAGAAGTAATCTTGTTTTGGTGACCAAAATTGAGACAGAGTTATATAAACTTCACATCTCCATAATGGGACACAGACATAAAAAGGTTTTTAACAATTTATTATTCTATCCAAAGCCCAAAAAAGCTTTTGGCTGACATACACTTTAAATTGCAAAAATTAGGACCACTAGTTGGGGGCATTCCAATTACAAGTACAATTTCCAAAGATATTTTAATAAAACAAATCAACAAGCAATACCTTCACCACTCCCACCCAAAGTTCCAAAATCTCACCTAAAGGCTGACATGAAACCAGACCAAACTGCTGTTGATTGATAAGATTAGATCACAAAAGCAGAAAATCCAAGTCTGAGACAGTCAAATCATATCTTGATTAGTTTACATGGAAACTCTGGTGTACTTTCAATAACCATTGCCATTTTTCTTTCACCTGGTTGTAAGGTGACCATATATTTTCATATGTGCTGCTCAATGTTTTATGAATGTATTCTTCCATTATTGGTTGTATGTATAACACTGAGTATGTTCAGCAACAAATATTGAAAAAATTTTGTAAATATAGAGAGTCTATTGTTTTCAATAAATCAGAGAAGACTAGAAGGCACAGTACCCCACCTATGCAGGCCATAGATGGGTCCGCACAAAAGATCGGCCGATATTTACGCCCTTTGCGGGGCAATACCGTCGGCCGTTTTTAGTGGATCTTCTCGTTTACTGTTATTGGTCATGCTGGAAAATCCATGAAAAACGTCCGCTTTACGTGGACATTGGTGGCAGCATCGCTGTGCAACACTACTAAGGAGGAAGCAGAGAGTAGTGGTTAATGATTCATACTCTGAATGATCTGGGGTCGTCAGTGGTGTACCCCAAGGTTCAGTGTTGGGACCCTTACTTTTTAATATATTTATAAACAATATAGGGTCTGAGATTAAAAATCCAATTTCAGTCTTTGCAGATGACACCAAGCTGTGCAGCGTAAATAACATCCTTACAGGATAACTTCAATTTACAAGCCAACCTCAATGCACTGCTTAATTGGGCAACTATGTGGCAAATGAGGTTTAATGTTGATAAATGCAAGGTTATGCACTTGGAAGATAAGGATTGCATGCATCATACATACTAGGGGGGTACAACTGGGGGAATCAATGGTGGAGAAGGATCTGGGGGTTCTGGTAGATCACAAGCTTAATAATGGCATGCAATGCCAAGCTGCAGTTTCTAAAGCGAGCAAAATCCTCTCTTGTATTAAAAGAGGTAAAGACTCCAGAGAGAGAGATATCATATTACCCCGGTACAAATCATTAGTAACACCTCATCTGGAATATGCAGTTCAGTTTTGGGCACCAGTTCACAAAAAGAACATTGGGGAACTGGAGAAAGTACAGAGAAGGGCAACCAAACTGATAAGAGGCATGGAGGAGCTCAGCTATGAGGAAAGATTAGAGGAACTGAATTTATTCTCTCTTGAGAAGAGGAGATTAAGGGGGAATATGATCAACATGTATAAATACATCAGTGGTTCATATAGTGAACTCGGTGTAGAGCTATTCACCCTGAGGTCATCGCAGAGGACAAGGGGGCACTCTTTACATCCGGAGGAAAAGAAATGTAATCTCCAAACATGGAAAGGTTTCTTCACAGTGAAAGCTGTGAAAATGTGGAATAGACTCCCTCAAGAGTTGGTTCTGGCCAGCTCAGTGGATCGCTTAAAAAAAGGCCTGAATTCTTTCCTAGATACACAGAATATAACTGGATACTAACCTTTTTAGGCAAGTTGATCCAGGGAATATCCGATTGCCTCTTGGGGGATCAGGAAGGAATTTTTCCCCTACAAGAGCAAATTGGATCATTATTTGCTTTTTTTTTTTTTTTTATTTCCTTTGGATCAATTGTGGGTATAGCATTTTAACTTTTTTTTTTTGGTTGAACTGGATGGGCATGTCTTTTTTCAGCCAGACTAACTATCTAACTATGCAAGAATCTGACTATGTAATTAGCACACATTGCTGCCCCACATGTATATATCTATCTGCTTCTTGGAACAGACCTTCCAGTGTTTTTGTAACATATGCAGATCCTTGGCTCCTCAGTTCAGAGTAGTAGACTGACATTGATATGCAAAGCAGTAGAGCTCTGACTGGACAGGAGTGTTGACTTTTATGGCTCCAGGTCTTGTCAGGGACTTACAGCAGACTGGTATTTAGATAGGATTCCAGTACTCAGCTCTTAGTGAAAATGAATTTAAAGTGTATACTAAAACCTTTTTAGTTTTAGAGAAAGCATGAAAAGGACCAAAACCCCTGTCTGTTTATTTTTCTGTTGTCTGTGCCCCAATAGGAAGATTTCTCTTCACTTTCTGTCCCAGTGATGAAACAGGAATTTAGAGGAAATCTCTACAAGATGAGAGGTATTAGGCAAAAAGATAGTTGTCACTGGAACTGTGGAAAATTCCCACTGCCTCTTCCTCTTACAGCTCTAAAATGCTGGATTTCCCATCACTTCCTTTCTTGGTGACAACACTCACCAGAAGGACAAATCTCCAAAGTGGGGACATCAACAGAAATGTTCTAACCCTTCATCACTCTATCCATAAACGTATTTTCTAGTATTAAGTTGGGCTCTTTTCAAACTCCTTTCATTGTGTTAATATGCCTATAGCCCAAATGTCATTTTTTGTCAAATTCCTTGTTCTATTTAGGTCTATATAAGGTTTACATAAACCACTGGCTATTTAATTCCACTACATTCATACAAACTATGACTGCTTCCATTGTTACTGGTGTGTATTTTCTGCACTTACGGCTATATACCTCCTTATTTACACTTCATATGTTCATAGTCATTTCAAGGATTAAACTAGGGAAAACCGTGTCATTTCAATTTTTGGTAAATGAATCATTGAATTGCTTGCTGGCTTAAGGCTTTGATCAGTAATCCCTTGTGCCTGAACTCTCAGGTGTGTGTACCTACTGATTCCATTACGGATCTCTGTGGTATTTTATTTTTTCTTATGTAATGATGAGTGCAGGAGGAGTGAGTCTTTAAGGCTGGCCATACACGATACAATTTTCTGTCCAATTCCCTTTAGATTTACCTTCAACTATGTAGCACAAGAGCCTGCCTAATTGGATACATTTGAAAGTGTTGTTAGGTTTGACCTCCTATTATATGGTTTTTGGTAAATCTAAACCAAAAATCTCAAGAAAATTGTATAATGTATGGCCAGTCTAAGGCAGCTTTGATCAGAGGTGGGAACTTCAGCGTTACATCACAATACTGAATTTGTGAAAATATATAACAGACACATACATATGCACACACATGCATTGTATATGCCATATATATAATATATTAAACATATACAGCATACCACTTTAACAAACATGCACATATATAAACGTACATAATAGAAGTGCTCCTGTCTATGGCATAGCTGTTTCGATCATTAAAGTGAATGTAAACCCTCACTTTGCCAGTTCCACACCACCCTATAGCAGAAATACTGCTACAGGGGGGCACGGGTATGCAAAATCACGTATATATATGCTGTATGCAGCCTCGGCTGTCAATCACCGGGTCCCAGACGGTGATTACTCACTGGCACCCGGTGATCGCTGAGTACCTCCGACGGGGGAGAGACCTGTGTAAAAACAACACAGATCAATCCCGTCAGCTCCTGCATACTGCTTTGTATGGCTTACAGTGAAGCACACACACAGCCCAAGTAGCAAATGAACATACAGCACACAGTTAACCCTTTAATCGCCCCAGATGTTAATATATACATGATTTTGTGAGCAGCGCACGCACCCTACACGTGCCGCCATTCGCGGCCTCGGCTGTCAATCACTGGGTCCAGACCGGTGATTACTCGCCAGCACCCGGTGATCATTATTACCGACTGGGGGGAGAACTGTATGTAAACAATACAGATCTCTCCCCTATCAGCTCCTGCACACTGCTTTGCATGGCTGTTCCAAGCAGTGTGCTTACAGTGTAAAGCACAGACACAGCCCCATAGTGAAACACACACAGCACACAGTTAACCCATTGATCACCCCAAAGGTTAAACCAAGTCAGTTCCCCCCAGTGTCAGAGTACCTGTCGCAGTCCT